GAAAAAAGTGCGATCTTTCGATTGCCGGTCCGCAAAATGAGTTTGGACAAGCCGTTTAGGCGCTATGGGGCGCCAAAGTTGACAAATTTCACTATTTTCACTAATTTTTCGAATTTTTTCTTCTTTTTTCTGAAATGCAGTTTTGATGGGCCTGATGTGTCAGAAATGTGTTCTTATCCTCCTTTCGTCATTATTTACTTGAAACAACCCCGCTTCAGCTAACTTTAACTCTCATTTTCACGCTGTGCACGCTTTTCAGCAACTCGAACGCCTGGCCGTTAGGCAGCCACCCCAGTCCAGCGCATGCGAGTCGTACGGGCCTGCCTATGCGGCAGGCGCTCGAGGCTCGCGGCAAGAGTGGCGGCGGCGCGCGGTGGGCCAGAAGACCGGCACCAGCGGCCAAAATTCTAGACGCGTTTTGAGCTCTGAAGTCGCTAAATGGCACTAGAACGTGTGACCTCACCAACGGATTGCCCTCCGAACGAGGGATCATTGGTGGGGTCACACGCTCGGTTCGAGTTCTGTTTAGCGACTCAAGAGCTCAAAACGCGTCTTGAGTGTTGCCCGCCTGCGCGGTCTTCTGGTCCACAGTATGAGAAAATATGAAATACAATTTCTCATTCAATTTACACATCACCAGACATTAATGCGATTTAAATTGCAGAACATAACCTAACGCAATATCTTTAACCACAACATACCGTTGCTTTCATCCATTTGGAACAAATTGTAGCTCAGTGGTTGTTTACCGCTGTTTACATCGATGCCATACGTTAGGTTAGGTCACGCATGGGAGGTTGGCTAAGTTGGGTGGCCTGGCTTGCCGAAAGTGGAAACAAAAGACAAAACGCAGTTGTCGGTCTGAAGAGCGGTTTCTTCAAACTGGGATCGCTTGGATAATCCGAAAGCACGCTCCACGTTAAAAGTACAACAACAAAACAAACAACAAAAGCCCATTCGGACAAAACAAAAAATAATGGAGAGGGCTCGTGTCGGGGGGGCGCCGGAGTTTAAAAGGCGCGGGCCGGAAAGTCGAAGCAGCGACGCGCTGCATCAGCAGTCGCGCCGCCGGCCAGC